CTGTTTGGCCATGGATGAATGTTCTAAAACAACTGTTCTAGGAAATTTTCTGAGCGAACAAATTTGGAGAGCTCTTTCTTTGGACAATTTGACGAATGTAGCTGGATGAATGTAGCTGGACATATGACAACTAGAAGAATGGAGTTTAGGTGAATGCAATTAAACGAATGATAGATAAACGACTGGTTGTTGGGCAAATGGCAACTGAATGAATGACAACTAAATGAATACAATTGGTCGAATGACAGTTGAATGAATACAATTTCTTGGTTCAAGGGTTTTTTTGGTCACACAATAAGAAATATGTAGTATGTATTGAAAAGTCTATTTATTTTACTTATATTTTGAATTAAACTAAAACAATTTTAGGGAGGTAATTATTTTTAAAAGCCATCAAAAAATACCAAAAGGATATTTTGAGTATTTTTTAAGAATAAATTGATTTGTTTTTTAAAATAAAAAATAAAAAAATATGCAAAAAATAACATACCTACATGTATATAAAAGTAGAAACAAAAAGAAATATGAGAAGACCTCAATTGTATTCACTGTCTTAGGGTTGGTTTATAATCAATTTTATTTTTAATTTTTGTTTATTTAGTGTGTTTTTAATATATTTTTTATTTTTTATTTCTAAAAAAATTAATTTATTTTTGAAAATACTCGAAACAATTTTTTAAGTGTTTTAAGTATTTTTTAAAATCAGAACATTTTAATCAAAATATATTTTATTTTAAATCAAAAAATAAACAGAATAAAACAATAAATAATAAATAAAAAAGGAAAGGCAAAAAACAAACAACAAAAAAAATAAAATGATCCCAAATAAATCCTTAGCTTTTAAATTTTATAATGTCTAGTCTAATAATAGAGGTTCTGAAGATACTCTAGATTGTTATGAGCTTGACATTTCTAGGGTCGTCGCAGCTGTTAATTTATTTCACTAGCTTTCAAAAGTAATTTAATCTTATTATTAAAAGCGAGTTAATGCAATTGTTTAGTTTAGACATAAAAAAACTGAGCTTTTATTTTTAAAACCTTTTTTCTAATATTGAGAAGTAACTTTTAATCTTTAGAGATAGTAAGTCTTCTTAAGTCTTGTTCTCATAATTATAATAATTAAATATGAAATTGGATAAAAATGAAATTCATAATAGTCCAAGAATAACAAATAAATATATGAACAAAGTTCTCGAGAAGTAATTTTAAGCAGACAAGACAAAAACCACAGTAGCTCATTACAGATAACTGAAGAGTCAATGAAACAAATTGAGCTTCAATGTATGCAAATCACCAAAATGCAAGGGATTGCATGTTTGAATATTCTTTCACATGTAATTTCATTACATGGTATGTCTGTCTCAGATTGTAATTATGCTCAAAGTAAATTCTAGTCTTTATCTATCTTAGCTTTGGCTTCTCTCTTTTATTTTCTAAGGCTTTGTAGTTAATTTCATCCTCCTCCTGCCCTATTGTCCAAAATCTTTAAGGCTTATTTGAGATCACTTTTATTTTCTATTTTTTTATTTTTATTTTTGCTTTTATTTTAAAAATATATTTGTTTATAATTTTTTTTGCATGCTTAAAGCATCTTTTTAAGAACACCCAAAACATCTAAAAGTTATTTTGAGTATTTTTAAAAAAAAAACTTGTTATACCATATCAAACATGTATTATCTTAACTTAAAACATAAACAAAATACACTAAAAAAAACAAAAACAAAACAAAAGGTCAAAATCAAAAGTGATCCCAAATGGCACATTAGTATTCTTCTACTCATAAGTTATACACATAATAAGTCAAATTATCTCAGCAACAATCTTAGGATTTTTTTAGTATGCTGGAGCTTTTTTTAAATACGATTGTAAAATTGTTATGGGAAAATCAACTATTTCAAAAATTATTTTGGGTATTATAAATATTTTTCTTCCATAAAAGTCAAGCAACAATTTTCTTAAAACTGCCACATTTTAGTAAATCTAGTTGTAAAAGACGATTTCCCATTACAAAAATTTTTAAAAAACAAAATGAAAAAAGACATACTAATATAGAGCTCCCCTACACTAGTTTAGTGTTTTTTTAGGGTTTTGAAAAATGATGTTATCTATTGTGTGCCAAAAAAATTGTGGCAATAGAGTGATATTTTAACTACAATGTTGTACAAAGATCTAAATATACACAGATAAAAGAAAAGTAGCAAAAGGAGACTCCAAATTTTTTTGCCTGGAAAAAACATGGAAAAAAAACTATGGGGTTTAGCCCAATCAAAATAATCCACTAGATAATTGTAAATACATAGATCCATTTCTATAATAGCCATGATTTGTTATAATAGCGACACTTGGTCAGAAAGGTTTAAGTGATGAATGTAGTAGTAATTGGTCGTAGCGGTCGTAGTTAAAAACTACAATACTGACAATTGGTGCAGAGATCGTAGTTGGAAACTATAATAACAGTAGTTGGCTACAAAATGTCGTAGTTAATTTCTATAAAGACAGTAGTTAGCTATAAAAGTTATAGTTGGTGGATGCAAAGTGTCAATTGACCACAAAGATCATAGTTGAAAATTATAACGATAGTTGGCCACAAAAGCGACGGTTGGTTGCCATAAAGGCAATAGTTGGTCATAACGGTTGTAATTGGTAGTTGTAATAGTAATAGTTGGCCACAAAGGCTATAGTTGGAAGTTGTAATAGTAGTGGTCAATAAAAAATATTATAGTTAGCTGCTACAAAGACAGTACTTAGCTATGAAAGATGTAGTTAGTGACTGCAATAGCCAATTGGCCATAAAGGTTATAGTTGACAGTTGCAACATAGTAGTTGGTCACAAATGTCATAGTTAGTTGCTACAAAGGCAATAGTTGGTTGTAAAAGTTGTAATCGATGGTTGCAATCCATAGAAGCCATGGTTGGAAGCTGTAAAGTAGTATTCTATAATAAAGTTTGTAGTTGCTTAATGCACATACAATATTTAGCCACAAAGATTATCTTTAGTTGGCTACAAAGACCGTAATTAATGTCTGTAATAGCGAAAGTTGACCATAGAGGTTGTAATTGAAAAATGTAACAGTAACAATTAGTCATATAGGCCATAGTTGATGATTGTAATATCATCAAATGAATGTAATTGAAAGCTGTAACAGTAGTTGTTGCCCACACAGATCTAGTTGGTGAATGCAATATTGTCAGTTAGTCAGATAAACTATAGTGGGTCACTGAAATAGCGTCAGTTAGTCATAAAGGTCGTAATTGATGACTACAATATCGTTAGTAGGTTGTACTTGGAAGTTGTAATATTGGTAATTGATCACATAGGTCATAGTTGGTGACTACAATATCGTGAGTTGGTCGCATATGTCATAATTGGTGACTGCAATATAGACAATTAGTCATAGAGACTGTATTTATCAGCTACAACAGCATCAGTCAGCAACATAGACCATCGTTGAAAGCTATTACAATAATAGTTGGCTACATAGATTGTAGTTGGCGGCTGAACCCTATCTCTTGAGGTTATAAATTTACACTGAAGTGTATTTGTCTTTATACAAGATAAAAGAAAAATATAAGTGTTAGGAACAATCCTTATATTCTGGCTATGGTAGTCATAAGCAGTGGCCACTGGTGGTCAATGGTCGGCAACAGAAAGTGGTGACAACTAACGGTGATTAGTGATAGTCGACTACTAGGGAGACCAAAATTTATTGACTGGTCTTCAATGCATTACAGTCGTATTTGAGATACGCCGTCATTTGAAAGCAAGGGTGGTCGGCAATCGACGGTCGGAGGTTTGCGGCTGCAAGAAGTGATGGTCGGTCGTGGTCGACAATGGTCGACAATGATCGGTGGTTACGGAGGCCGGAAGTTATCGCAGTCCATCAGTCCCAAACGGGCTCTGGAATTCATCTTCTTCTCCTTCTCCCCCTCAACTAAAGCGATTTTTTAATGATTTGAGCGTCTTAATGATCTTGGAATTGAGTAATCTTAGGCTCGTTGGATTGCTCTCGTCGAGATACTCGATTTGATTATAAATAAGTTGAATTTGGAGTTTATTTAATCATTCAATTTATGATTCAAAACCTCCAAATGTGCTAAAGACTTGATTGACCCAAATTGAACCAATTTTGGTATTAAATGGTTTGTCTTATCGAGACGGTCAGTTGTATTATAAATTTGCTAAAATCGGGGTCCAAATGACCTTAAATTTGAATTTGGATGATTATTTATAAAAAATGCATCAAGCTTTGCACTAGATGACAAAAGTTCATTGATGACACATCACTGTTAAACTTCTGTTTTGAGATGTGTAGCTCAAAACATACTGTGTTAAGTCAATTTTTCGTTAGTACTACAATGTGTTAATACTATAAGCACTAGGGAAAAACCAACTAAATTGAATTAGTATTTAGTGTTTTAACCAAAAAATAATGCCAAGGAATCCATAAAGATTCTGAACAAATGACTAGATATGTGTGCAATTCATCTAAGTTTTTATTTTTAGTTTTTTGCAGCGAAGAATAAAGGATGCTAGGATTCAAGAAATGATGTATTAACTAGACATTTTTTTTAACAAAAGAACATGAAATTTACATATATAAGACAATTCTTTTTTAATACATATCTAACACCAAAATTTTGATATTTACATATATAACACTTTAGTATAATAATCATATAAAAACATAAGCATAAAAAGATGTGTTTCACTTAAAAAAATTAGCAATAATAGATGTTAAAGATCTAAGTACTATCTACATAAGTAAATATTAAAGTTTAGACACTTTAGTATAATAATCATATCAAAACATAGGCATAAAAAGATGTGTTTAACTTTAAAAAATTAGCAATAATAGATGTTAAAGATCTAAGTACTATCTACATAAGTAAATATTAAAGTTTAGGTATTGTATATGTTAATATATAAGTATTGTGTGATATGTATGTAAATCCCTCAAGAATGTTTCAGTTATCAGCAAAAAAAAAAAAAACAAACATACCTTAATAGCATTTTTTATCTCTGCAATAATTGAGGGGATTTTTGCAATGACTAGATCATAACTAGCATTCAAACTGAAGGCAGCAGACAAGTCATTCTGTCCGATATCAATGATATAAATTGCCTTCTTAAACCCTTCCTCATTTACCAAATTTGTCGAACCTGTCAACATAATTCTACAAATTGTAGACAATCCAAATCTGCAAAAGACTTCATAATGCTTTGAAATTATTGCATTTGGTCTGATTTATAATGTTTGTGTTAGGATTGCAGATCTAGCTAATGAAGACTAAGTTGGCCTTTTACATCATTTGTCAAATTCATGTTCCAGCCAAAAACATAAATATTTAAAAATTGGGAATTTTACATACATAAAGCACAACTCTTATGTATTTTTACATCTAACACCTAAAATTTGATATTTATACTTCTAACACATTGGTGTCATAAACCCATGCATGAAAAAGTATATTTCGCTTTTAAAAAGATAACGCTTGTGATACTTTTGATGTGATATTAAATATTTGAGCAATATGCATGTAAATATGAATGTTTATGCGGTGGCTATCTATATATATAAGAATTGTGTAATATGTATGTAAATGAACTGATGTAGCTTTCTCACTAACTGCTATCTTACTTCCATTTGGCTACTATTTTTTGCTCTTTTCAGAAAAAGTTATGCTGAGAAACTTACTGTAGGGTAGATGTGTCCTATTTATTTCCTAAATACCCCCAAATATACACACATATGGGGAGTCTTTACTGTGGGTTAGTGCATTTACCTTGAGCAACGAGTTCCAGAGACCTGGATTTAAACCTGAAGAACTGAAGCACTTGGATTAATAGAGAGAAGGGCTGGTTCCTAGGTTGAGTTGCAGAACCAGCTACAGCAAAGTTTGCTCCATTTGTGAAATCTGAGCCTAAAGATTCCAGATATGGGCAAAGGTAGCTACTGTTCAAGCTTTCACCTGCAAATCATAAACCAGAAGAACACTGGATCAAGTTCTATACTAAACCTGGAAGAATTAATCTATTTGATCCTGAATTTTGTCTCTCAGAGAGTTGGCCAAATAATGTCAACTTCAGTACTTTGCCAGAGCTCCATTATCAACTCAGAAATAAATTAGGACAAAAAATTATGATTCCTCATTATTCTAACTCTGAAATAAAAGTTATTGAATTGACCTTTTATTGCTCCAAAGAGCGAAACAGTTCTTACAAGCTACAGCTCTACTGAACTAAAATAACAAAAAAAAACTGCATTTCCCAAGGTAGGATTTTTTATTCTGAACAGTTTAAAAAACAGAAAAAAAATTGTCTCTTTCTCATGCTCAAACAAAGAAAACACCAAAATTTGGACGAAGATGCATTAAAAAAGAAAAATTTTGATCCCATTCCTCCATTTTTTTTTCCCTGTAGTGGTGGGAGCACTCCAATTCGATTTTTTTTTAGATCATACTTTCTAAATAAAAAAAAATCAAACAACATTCTCAGAAAACACAAAAATGAGCTAAAAATTTAAATTTTGGGCACATAAAAATCGATTAAGAAAGAAGAAGGGAGAGCGTACAGAGGAAATCGAGAATGAGGCGGCCGTCACAGAGACGGCCGGGGGGGCGGTCGGCGGGGGGAGCGATTGAAGAAGATGCGACCTTCGGGGAGAGGAAAGATGTATCCGAGCCCAGCGGAGAGTCCTCCAGTATCAGAGTTCGAATCCCCAAAGTTGAATATTACCGGCACTTCGCCGGAGCACGCCGCCTCCGCCGCCGGAGCAAGACAAGCCGCTGCTGCTAACAGCAGCGACCACAACGCCATTAGAGATAGGCATTCTCGCCCTCTTCTCCTCCCCATTATAGCTCGACACGCCATTGGTCCAGTGCCTGCAACCGCGCTATGCTCTGCGCTTTTGTTTTCTTTCAGAGGCGCGGGGAGAACTGCCGGGGGTTATCGTTGGGTGGGGACGTTTTGCATATTCCCCCCTAGAAATTGCTGTAATTGTGAACATTGGTTATCTGATTTATGACATCTTGCCCCGTACGGTAAGTTCGTCTGACGGTTCTCTTATTTGAGGATGGTATGTATTTGGTTAAGAAAATCAAGATTTTATTTTAATTGTTTTAAAAGTAATTAGTAACACCCAATGTCAATAAATTATAAATAAAATAAATTTTAATATTTTTACTATATATATATATATATATATACTACTTCAAAGAGTTAAATGAGTGCTTGGATGAGTTTGGGAATTTCAGAATTAAAAATATGCATATGTTCAAGGAGCTTATTGTCATCTCCCAAAAGAGCTCTTAAAAAAAGAGCTTCTAGGGGTGGTAGGCAGTCCATGACTTGAATATTGTTTTTTTGAACTACGCCTAGCCGATATGAGATTTTTTGTCTGTGATGTTCATGCTCTCCTTTGACTTAAAGTTGAGTACGATCTTAGAGAATTTTTACCAACACAACTTTACTAAGATTATGTTTATAAACTATAACTAACATGAACTTAGGGATTCTTGATTAAAAAGTTCAAGGAAAGTTTTAATTTAGACAGACTAATTAGATAACATCTTCAATTGAGTTTACATGAGGATTGAAGACAAAGAAAACGGTAAGAGTCGCCCATGAATTATAACATTCGGTAGATTATCCCTGAAGACCATGCATTCCTCTCCCAAAGAGAATTCTCATGTTCTTTTCATATCTCTTCGTTTGTCTTTACTTTCATTCTCTATAGTTCCAGCATAGGATGTGCTCCCGGGCTAATCTAAGTTCAAAATTGATGATATTTGATATAATTCATAAAAATAAAATGGTATGATGATATATTTTTTTTTAATTTTATCAGATTCATTCAAAATAATTTAACACTTCGTTTACAAGTTTTCAAATTTATTCGAGAGCAATTGTATCTATGATTTTAGCATATTTCTAATGGAAGTGTTGTATTAAGCAAGATGAATAAAAAAAAAGATGAAAATTAAAGGAATATGAACATATTTTGTCATAAAATATCTGAAACTAACATGTAATGAACTATCTTAGATTTATAAGGGTTGTTCCAATGGGACTAAACTAGCAATTTTTCTAGTATACGACCTGCTAAGGGAGAACATATCTCACTCTTTACCATTCATTTAGCCAATCCTACCATCATGATATGTAGCCAAATACCAAATGATTTAGTCCAAATCAATATTCGCATCAAACAACCTGATCAATCTAAAAGTTAGTTTGGCCAATTGGATGAGTTGACTAGTCTACACATCACACTAATCAATTTGGCTACTCATCAATTGAGCGTTCATAAAAAATTGTGTAGCTATTCGTCAATTCAGTAGCCTAGTTACAACTATTCATCAATTCAGTGGCCTAACAGAGGCCAGTTGTCAATTTAGCTGCTCAATGACGACTAGTAATTCAACAAGTGCCAAAGTATGCTTATATTGTTGAAAGATGGTTCCTTGCTTAATGCTCTATCAAACTATAGAGAGCGCTACACAATTATTGTATTTTAACTTTTTATTATGTAGCTCATTGTGTAAGATAATTATTGCCACCGTAAATATATAAATAGAGGGGTCAATGTTGAGACCCTCAAGATTAAGGGTGTAAACGAGCCGAACACGAGCGACTCGTTTATATTTCAAGCTCAAAAAGTATGTTCGTGTTCGGCTCATTTGCTTAGCGAGCCGAACAAGAGCCGTTAACGAACAAAGAGCTATTTTGCCAATGCTAATCACGTAGTCATAAGATGTTAAGAATTGGGGCAAGATTTAAAACATCATTTGCAACTAATTTAATAATTTTTATTATATTTTCTTAATTAATGCTTTTAATTGATTATAACTCTTTGTAGCCTTGTAGTCAAATTTTTTTAAATACCACTCATCAAAGATATATATAAATGATTAGTAGTATTTCGAGCCAAAACGAGCCAAACACGAACGAACAAATATTTGTTCTTGTTGTTCGGCTCGTTAACTTAGCGAACAAGACGAACACAAGCCTCTTAACAAGCCGAACACGAGTTGTTCGCGAACAACAAACCGTTTTGACAACCCTACTCAAGAGGTAATTCAAAATGCTCATTCTTGTACTTGATTCCTTGAGCAATGAAATCTTCAGGACTTTTCTCAAAATCTCTCTCTCTCTCTCTCTCTCTCTCTCTCTCTCTCTCTCTCTCTCTCTCTCTCTCTCTCTCTCTCTCATTTTGGTGGTGTGAATTCAACTTACACAAATCCTGATGATAACATATGACTTTCTTTTGACGATCTCCACCGTTTGACATCTACAAATAATACATGTCCAATCTTTTCCAATCATTGATGTTTGACATCCACATGCCCAATTGCATGATCTGCCTTCTTTAAGAAAGGTGGTTGAGTCGTCTGGAATCTAGTGCCTCATCCATTACCATTCATTTATAGATTGATCATCATTCATCAGCTTATATCAAGTTGATAATACCAATGGACATCTCATCACCATCACAAAAAGATAAAAACATCTTCATCAACTTACATCTAAGTCGAGTTATGCCCATGCACTAGCATTAATTGGCATCTATAATCCATCATCAAAGTCATCACTTCCTACCACTAATCTTCAACTAAGCTTTCTTATTATATTTTCTCATCCTTTAGGTACAGAGAAGGGAAAATATTTATAACAACAAATAAAGATTAGTCCATGGATTTTGATTAGGCATAGCTCTATAGTATTTTCCTCTTGATTATTTATGTAAAATAAATCAGTGTGCCTCTTTATGGGTCTTTATATACATGTGTGGGAAACATTTGTACATGTTAGAATGTAACTCTTAATCCATATAGTAATGAATTTTCTAGCATGTAGCAAATATATCAAGATTTTAAGAAAAAAGGTCAATATATCATCTCTATAACGATAACAATATAAAAATTTCTTACTATCAATACGTTATTAGGATGTTGTTGCATGTTTAGCTTCACTTCTAATACAATTTGTGCTTAGCTCAATAATTATCAATAAAATTTTGGGTCAATATATTACTACTTTATATTAAGATCAATTTTCTACTCATTGATTTGTTTTAAAATGAGTGCAATATATGATTAGTTAATTAACTCTAATATTATGATCATCTTAAAATAAATTAAATTGATAAAAAATCAACTTGAGAGCATTTGAGTAAGGATATCTTAATTTAAGTTTTCATTATAATTAACTAAATAGCAAGCTTGTTATGTACTTGCTTGTGACATATGAATTGAATGTTTAATTTTATGTAGTGAGGTTTTGGCATCTAATATTATGAATTGCCGTTTGGGTTCAAATTTACAAATAAATAGCAATTTTTTTTTTTAGTAAGTTATATTAAAATAAATTTTATAAATATGATGTCTTATAAACAACTGATTGATTATATTTTGATCTCTCTCATGATACATTTAGATACACATAAATTCAATTCTTGCTGGGTATTTTATCCATAAAATATATTATATAATATTATTGTTTGTTGGATGTGTTGCATACCCCGGTCTGTTGGTTGGCATCCACGGTTTGAGACCTGATACACCTAAAATATATAGTATTTTTAAACACATTTTTATACCTATTTTTGAGATATTGCGCTTTAATAAAATGTATTTGTGTGTTTTTCTTTCAGATACAATCAAATGGATGAAAAATGCTAAGAGGAGTGAAAAAGGGTAAAATTTGGAGCAAAAATGAACTGGGGCACCTAAGCACTCAGGTTTAATTCCTAAGCACCACCAGGATTGACACCTACGCACCAGAGGAGCAGCTCCTAAGCGCCAGAAGTAGTTATGAGATGAATTATTTAATTTGAACGAATTTTTGAAGAGGTGTTTGAAGCAACCCTTAGTAAAAACGTAGGGAATAACTCATGGACACGAAAATTCATTCAATTGGCTTTTGAGGAAGAAACTTCTAGAAAATTCATTGAATGAAGAAACCTTTTTGAAGAGACACCAAGACACCCCTTGGATTTTTATAAGAAAAGACTTAAATTTTCCAAGAGAGAATGTTAGCCATCCATCAAATTTACAGTCATCATCCATCTAAGTCGCTACCGTCGGCCACATTTCATTTTATTTTGAGTGTTAGTTTGTATTGTAAGTGAATGAAGAGAATTCAAACGAGCTTCAAGACATTTGTTGAAGAGGATTTGAGATAAGTGTTTATCTTTGTGACCACACTTGATTTTAATTTAGACTTCTTGTTTGTGTGCATGATTTCAACTTTTAAAATCATGTGTGGTTGAGTTTTCTCCATAAATTCTGAGTAGTTTTATTTAATTTTTTCCTTAAAACGATAAGTGATTAAGTGTTGAAACGAAGTTGTGGGAAGTATTAGGCTTCATTGTTGGAAGAAGTTGTGATGATTTGAAACCTTGCACTTCATTTACTTCTTAATTTGGTCAATTAAGATGTTAATACATGTTGTGAGAACATGTAAGATCTGAGATGGTATTGTCTCAGTCAACAAATGGTTAGAATCACATATTGATTTCATGGATGAGAATGCAGTTCATGTGGTTGAGTGCAGATAAATAGGAAAATAAACTTTTCAAGTGTGTAGAATTAGAGGACTTTAGAGTGATAGA